CAAGGTTCCCTTCTGTCTCCCATGCTTTTTAACATCTACATGAAACCGCTGGGAGAGGTCATCTGGAGTTTTGGAGTTGGGTGCGATCTCTACGCAGATGACACACAACTCTACTACTCTTTTCCACCTAACTCCAAGGAAGCCCCTCAAGTGCTAGACGAATACCTGACCGCTGTGGCTGTCTGGATGAGGACAAACAAGCTGAAGATTAATCCCAACAAGACAGAGGTCCTCCTGGTCGATCGCAAACCAGACCAGGGTATAGGGTGGCAACCTGTGCTGGACGGGGTTGCACTCCCCCTGAAGTCATAGGTCCACAGTCTGGGTGTCCTCCTGGATTCTTCACTTACGTTTAAGGCTCAGGCATCAGTGGTGGCCAGGAGGGCCTTTGCACAATTAAGACTCGTGCGCCAACTGCGGCCATACCTCGGGAAGGTGGATCTGGCCAAAGTGGTCCACGCCTTAGTCACCTCTATACTAGATTACTGCAATGCACTCTACGTGGGGCTGCCCTTGAAAATGGCCCAGAAATTCCAGATGATCCAACGGGCGGCAGCCAGGTTGTTAACTGGAGCTCCTTACAGGGAGTGGTCAACCCTCCTGTTCAAGGAGCTCCACTGGCTGCCATTCATCTACTGGACCCAATTATACTTTTGAATTATGTACTGCAGGACAAAGTAATTATCTATGGTTGAACGTCCCTGTCGGAAGCCTGATTGTTCTTCACAGAGAATATTGTTTTCATTGGACCATTGCTCAATTTTGATCAAAAGCTATTTTGCGTAGATTTTTGCTGTCATATCAATCAGGCTTATAGGCCGATAGTTCTTTGGATTGGTTTTTTCTCCATTCTTATGAATAGGGACAATAATACTCATCTGCCGGCCTCTAGGTATGCTGCATGAATTGTTAATGTGAGAGAAGAGCCTTGCTAAAAGTTGGGCCCACCAATCACTGTTGTTCTTCAAAAGTATAATTCAAGGGGGATGTGTCTGTATTCAGCATTTATAGACTTGTCTTCAGCATTCGACACAATTTGTCGTAAGATACTATGCAAAAAGCTGGCTGCCACAAACATCGACAGAAGATTACTTACTTTAATCATTATGCTGTACTCTGACACCGTATTGAAAGTTAGACTTGGACCCAGTGGAGCCCTGAGCAATGAAATCAAGACATCAACTGGGGTGAGACAAGGGTGCATTTTAGCCCCTTTTCTCTTTAACTTCTATGTAAATGACATCGTAAATACATTATCCTCTGAAAGTCTACATGGTCCTAAAGTTTTGTCCAGAACTATTAACATCCTGCTTTACGCTGATGACATGGTGATTATGGCAACATCTCCAGTGGGACTAAGAAGATCCCTGGCAAAATTCAATTTGTACTGTGAGCTAGGATAGGTGCTGGTGCTATCCTACAAAGCCCTAAACGGTTCCGGCCCAAAATACCTTTCGGACCGCATCTTGGCCTATGAGCCCACGAGGACCTTGAGATCGTCTGGGGAGGCCCTTCTCTCGATCCCGCCTGCTTCACAGGCACGTCTGGCGGGGACGAGAGAAAGGGCCTTCTCGGTGGTGGCCCCCCGGCTGTGGAACGACCTCCCTGCTGACATCAGACAGGCGCCTTCCCTTCTGTCCTTCCGAAAGAGCCTGAAGACCTGGCTATTTGAGAAGGCATTCAACTGAGCGCTACGGCAACTGGTAATTGACAACTGGAACGGAATACGGATTACGATATTGGTTATGATTCTATGATGTGACGGAGCGGATTATTTAGTGTAACTAGATTATAGTGTATTATTGTTGTATTGATTCCCTGTTTTGCCTTTTTTGTAAACTGTTTTTATATGTTGTGCACCGCCGCGAGTCGCCCTAGGGCTGAGAGCAGCGGTTCTATAAATGCAGTAAATAAATAAATAAATAAATAATAAATTCACTCACTATGAACAAGGATAAATCCAAAATTGTAGTCCTTTGAAAAAACAGGAAACGGTACATGTGGTTACATCTCGTATTGATTACTGCAACGCGCTCTACGTGGGGTTGCCCTTGAAGACTGCCCGGAAGCTTCAGATGGTCCAG